CTCCGTTCCGTCTACGATGTTCGTCAATGGAAGTCAAGCTGGATCACAATCTGCGCTAATCTTGCCGCAGATCACTGAGTGCGGGGAGCGGCAATTCGGAGTATCCATGAAACCGGCTAATCCTCTCCCAGGCACCAGGCGCCGTAAAGTAAAATAAAGTAAGTATATTATCACNAATGTGTTGTGTCTGATGTGGGGCAGTATCATATTCAGTCCCGTAAATGAGATTAGAAAATAAATCGTTGGGAGGAACAAATGTGATAAAAATCAGTATGCTGTTCGAGTTTGTTCAATACCTACAATATGTACATATAAAGATTTTTGTACGGTGATTTCTTTCTCACATAGTCTGAACTCCGACGTGTATGAAATGCCAACACAAATACAATGGTTTTTTTCGCAAATAGATCAGTCCAGAAAGATGGAGGTAGTTTACAAGTAAAATTCGAACTAGCACCACGAAAAAATGCAGCTTTCGCAGCTTGAATGACGTAACAGAAAGAAGAACCTTCAAAGTGACCCCATAGAATCAGTCATCTGCATACGGCTCGCAGGCAGCTTTTTATTTGAGCACAACATTCGATGACTCACACCATAGAATAAATTGCATTAAGCAAATGAATAGTGAATGAGCACGCTTCCACCAAAGATGTTATCTGACCTATTAGTGAAAGATTTGGAAAATGATCACTAACTTCTAAGAAAAAGGCACTGATGTTAACTAGTATCATAGATTTTGACTGATTACTTGAGAGGTTTCTTTCACTTCGAGATTAGCATAAACTCCTTACCTTTTCTCTTTCTCCGTTTATCCGTTTGTCACGCATGCTTATAAAGTTGTTTAGCTTGCACAATTTTATCGCGCTGCTAGATCCATTTTACTCACCTTTTGTTTGAACGAGTGTAGTGTGATGGAACGAAAATCACACATGGTGGAAAATGAATCAATTGAACTTCTCACTGGGGCGATCGATGCTACCTCAGCAATTTATAATCGACTTCCAATTATGCAAGTGAGTTCCATCATTTTTTCCCTCTTTCTAATTCGGTTCAGATGGTGTTCACAACCCAAACGAATATATATTTATAACAAGATCAATTACCTACGGGCTCTTACACGATAATGTGGAAAGTTACGTGAGAGAAAGAAACTGAGAGCTGTTGGTTGGCAGTAATGTGGTTTGGGAAAGGGGAGTAATGGAACATGTTTTTTACGTTTGTTCTTATTCCCGCGGCACTAAAATACTTCAATTGTATTCATTTTTCCCTAGTTACTTCGACCAAAACACGGTTGAGTGAAGTACGTAAAATAGATTTCTTCCTTTGGTTCCCCTTAGGTACGACTAAACGACCAAACGCGGTCAATCACTTATTAAATTTTCAAAACGCAGAGTTCGGTCTGGTTCTTATGAGATCGAAGGGTAACGTTACGTCGGACTGTGGCATACAGTAATGATCAGAGGTCTGGGATCAGTTTAAACGATGGAGTCACCTTAAAAAACAGTTAAGACAATTAAAAATCTCACGTAATCGTACCGGTCCGAACGGAGGCAAAATATCGTTTTAAATGTGTCGCGAAAATCTAATTCGGCGGGGCCAAAGTCAGTGAAAGTGAGATTTTTACGTCTTAGTCCCATCAAGAACCGATCATTTTGTGAAGCCCTAAATTGATGAGAACTCAAGTGGATAGAATGCATCCTAGAATTATGTTGGCTAGCTGAGTTGCGATGCCTCATAACTCTCTGGTACAGCGTGCGTGTACTTTGCTTTGCGCTGCGTCCATGCTTGGGTGCAAATCCCACCCAGGCTCCGTAGGGTGGTTAATCAAATGTGATATGGTCAGGGCGGTAGATGTGGATTCGAAGCTTAACTTGTGAAGCATACATTTTACAAAAGGTTTTGCGGTGCAAACAAACTTTCCACTATTAACTTATATGAAAAACGTAAAAATATCTGCATCCCAATGGAATTTGGACCTTCTGGTGTCTGTTGCAGTAGACCGGTCAATTGCTCCGTTTGATGCAAGGTATAGATTTTATGTATAGATAATAAATTCAGACTATAAAAAGTTTAACACACAACATAATCCGAGCAGAATGAACAACTGCAAGAAATATCCTAAGGTTAGATAGGGAGTGATGGATAATTGCGCTTGCTCACTGACTCACGTACCTACAGCCCATCGAGTGCAGCGGTTGTAATTTGGGTTAGTTATGCCATCAAATGAGCCACGTCTTCTTGGGGTGTTTGTCAGGTGATTTATGGGTTTGCAAAGTTTCAATATCTTATTCCATTGATTTATCTACTTGGTAGGCCATTAAATGACAGAGACCGAAAACGAAGTACATTAGTGTGTAGTTAATCGTTGCACGAAGTAGTCTGAGAAGTGTCTGTGGCTATTTCGGATGCTTTTTATCACGTACAATTTAATCCAGGTACACAGTTTTTCTTATTTCTCAAATCAACTGAATTGGAGGACTATCAATATTGCGTATGTGTGATATTCTGACTAAACGTATGACACCGACAACGCCTCATTTATCCACATATCAGTAAAGAAAGATGAAAAGCCTCGAACACTCGGTCTAAATGGAAAGAAATCGACCAAACATGTTCGCTTACTAGATCCGTATTTTTATTCTTTATTCTTTATTATTATTATTTATTATTTATTATTTAGGCCAGTACTGTATGTGTGAAGCAAAAATAAGTCAAGTAAAATAAATAAGTAAAACAACACTGCCTTGAGCATCGTTGTGACAAATGCGAATAAATTGCTACAAAAGAAACAACATAATTCGAAACTGTTCACAACGTACGTGGTCTTTAAATTTAATCACCGCCGAGGTCATGCGAATGCTTTTGTGTAGTCTCAGTGCTAGGGGTATACGGTGTTATGATAAGCTGTATGGGTTGATGTCGATGAACATTTTGTTACAAGTACATCCGGTGTGAGCTGCTTTCGTACAAACTGTGCACTGAGGATTTATTTGGTATGGTTTGAACTCAGATGTGTACATAATGCATACATACATAAACCGTCCACTGTTGGAAACCGACGAAAATCATACGATTTGCAATTAATTTTTCATCAACACAACATGCAGTTGTCAGACGAGATATGTGAGTCGGACGCGCACGGATATTCCAGCTTCCCGTCTGCTCAATCCAAAGGTCAACCGAGCAAAGACAAATCTCCAGGAGTTGGTTCCATTAGGAGCCATACTACAATCAATCGGAATCGTTCGCAAGCTAGCAGTTCCTTGTCCGGACAAGGAACTGCTAGCTTGCGAACGATTCCGATTGATTGTAGTATGGCTCCTAATGGAACCAACTCCTGGAGATTTGTCTTNTGTCCGGACAACATGGTGATCTAGATGTGGATTTGGCCGATATACCTGAAGTGTTCCTTACCAAAGTGAATTTATTGCAATCCAGGGTCAGCCTGAATGAGATTCACGCGTCACTGACCAAGAGTATGTTAGCAGTCACCGACTGCCTCGTGCTGTTCATTTGCAAACTCGGTGATTTTACTCGTTATTACTGCCGACTAATTCCCTAACAACGGCTGTCTGAATGCGATCATTTGATGTGTGTTCAGGTGGTACGGAGGGTGTGTCCACGAAACACTCCAACTATCACATAGCTTCTTGGGTCAAATTAGCAAGAAAACCTCTGCCGGGCTCTAAATACAACTTGCATATTAAATTTGCATATCTTCTTTCCCAGATCCTCCGACACCATGAAGTTTGATGCACAGCTCATATTGCTTAAATGCATATAGAAACTTTCTGGTTCCCCATTAAGGATGCGCGCTCATCTCCAGAGATCGGGCGACCAGAGGGAATTACGGTGTTCACAATGTTAACCCTGTGTGATGCTTAGAATTTTGATGGCATATACCAAATGAGATGGCTTGTTATATGTACGCCAATTTATCCATAATTGAACTGTGGTTCGTAATAAACAATCCTCTTCAGGTCAACATTGGTCTTTTGTAAGCATAATACAAACACTGGAATTTTGTTTAAGTACCCAAAATGCGTAATTAGCCTCTTTTTGTGTTTTCTTATGAGAAGCAAATACGAACCTGGCGTTCTGTGATGCTATTATTATTGATAACACATTCGTTGTTGGATTGTTCTACTACTGTATGCGTCAGGTGGCCCCGGCTTATTGAAATCTATGTCTCCTGTTCCCGCAACCGGAGCTGCGGGAAAAGCGGGAGGAAAAACTGCTGGCAAAGCCACAGTGGCAACGGGGGATAAGGAAAAGCCATGTCTACCAAATGCATCCGCACTGTGTGTGGACAAATGCGTGATACCAACAGTACAAGAAGCTCAATTTCTTTACAACGCTTGCCTCTGTGCATTGCAAATTGTGTTGAATCAAGTGAGCTTTATTGTTTGGTTCTGTTAACTTCAGATAAATTTTATTCATTTGAATGTTCCATTTGCAGTCTATTATAAATTGTGAATTATTTAGATCCATGAATGACTTTGCGCCGATTCTTAGCGTTCATTCTAAACGGGTGATTTCATCATGATGTTTCCATGCAGTACAGCCAGACTATCAAACTTAGCACACCATATAAAGGAACCCATCGTGAAATAATCAGTATATTCATCTTAACAGATTTGTGCTGTAAGAACGAAACATCATCCTGATTCAGTGCCTTGCTATCAGGGCTCGGAGAATATGTAGAGCCGATACCATTGTGTGTCTTGATCGATGGGCTGAATACTTCGAGGCGGAGTTCAGCTGGCCCCCATAGATATGTAACGTATCACCTCCATCGCGACTGGGCAAATGCTGCCAGTTGATGCCAGTCCTTCATGGAGGTTTCCCGGGAGGTAAGCTATCTCAAAAGGCATAAGGCCTTCGGACCAGACAGGCTCTCTCCATCCGTTTTTAAGGTTGGAGGTTTAGCCTTGGTTTTGGAGTTAACGAAACTCTTGGCCTCAGAGTGGAAGAGGGAATAGCTTCCAACTGGATGGTGTGCATCGATGATCATATCGATTTACAATCAAAGTGACAGGTTCTCCTATGAACATCACAGAGGAATTAGTTTAATCAACATCATCCCTAAGCTTCTCGCTTGGCTTATACTCCATCGATTGTCTGCCGTGCGTGAAGAGTGCACGCGTGAGAACCAGGCTGGTTTTAGACCTGGTTGAAGTTGTATCCACTGCATCTTCACTCTTCGCGAAACCCTGGAGCACCGACATCTTTTTGTAGATTCACTATCCCGGTCTTTCTCGATCTGAAATCGGCTTTCGACTCAGTCGATCACTTTAAACTCTGGTGCTGCCTTTCTCTGAAAGGTGTGCCCGAGAAGTTTATTTCAATGATGCAATCCGTTTATACCAAGAGCTGAAGTCGAGTCCGAAATTACGGCACTTTTTCGCCCGAGTTCACCACGTCAGGGTTGCCCTTTCTATCCTTTTCTATTTAATTTCGTTATAGATTTGATTATGGAAACAACTCTATCCTCCTGCAAGGATAGTGGCATCTAATAGAGCAAGTGGATAAGTTTTGTTATTTGGACAGCTGCATCTCACCCAGTGGACGCATCACGGATGAAATGTCAGTTCGCATGCAGAAGGCGCGGTTAACATTTGCCAGCTTGAGACATCTGTGGCGCCGTTGCGACATCCGGCTGTCTGTGAAGCAGCGAGTGTATGCGGCCAGTTCTGCCATATGGATCAGAAACTTGGCCATTAAGAAAACAGGAGAAAGATAGATTGGCGGTGTGTGAACACCGCTGTTTACACAGCATTGCACCAATCTGGTGGGGTAACCGGACGAGCAAAGCTGAGGTTAGGCGCAGTTTTAGGCAACCGCGGTCGCCCATTTGAGCAAGTTGTTGACTTCTATAGATTACATTGGTTGAGCCATGCGTTACGCATGTCACCAAATAGGTTGCCACGGCGAGTGATGTTCGCTGAGGCAGGTAGTGGATGGTCAAATAACACCTGGCATGAGGATATGAAAACCCTAACTAGGAGTTTGGGTCACATTGGTCATGTAAGGCTCCCTGGATAGGTACCTCGGGATAATCGTAAACGATAGTTAGAGACACTGAGTGGTATGGTTGGGTGTCATAAACAGTGGCGTTTGTGCATCTTCTCAATTTCTTTGTATCATTAGTCTACTGAACTTCTCAATCTTCTCTTCGGTCATACTTTCAAACTTCCTGTCTTTCTCTTATTCTTCATATAAATAGGTAGCCAAAAGACAGAAACCAAAAGCGACACACGGAGGTGCATGCCTTGTGGCTGTACAAACTGAGCTGAACTGAACTTGTGTTGTACGGCAGTCCTCTGGCCACTTCCCTCTTCATGAAAATTGCATCATTATGTAAAAACGGAAAAAATATGAGCAAACTGAGGTTTAAGGGAAAAGCATTCCTTCAGAACGGCTACCTAGAACGAATCATGAATAACGTTTCCAGGCGTCACCGATTGCGAAATAAGCTCACTACCCTTGGAAACAAACCAGCATCGTTTTGTGTAACCTGTAAAAGTGAGACAGTTGCCAAGGTGATAGCGCATAAACTATAACCCCGAAATATTCCCAAAACCCGATCTCTTATGGCAGTCACCACACTACACCTATCCCCTCTCCGTCTAACCTCAGCATTGCTTGTCCGGTTACCTTCATCAGACTTGTGTAACACGGCATAGACGGCGGTCTTTGAACGTCTACAATTAATTTTTTATAATATAAATTATAGACAAAACTAGCCAGCCATAAAGTTCGGACAAAGTCCAAAGGAATATGAAGTGGACGTTTGAGAACCAACCTGAAAGAATAACAGCACTTTTTGCGGATACCGGTTCCGGTATAACCGTGCAATCTGAGCGTACGTGCGGTTGGGGGTATATCACTCAGAGTCCTGATTAAACAATGTGACAGTGTGCAGATTTGCGGGGTGACCGTTACCCATGAGATGTTCTTGATCGAAGGTGTAAGTGAGATTATAATCGGTGTCGATCTGCTCAGGCGCGTGGGTGCGAAGATTGATTTCGTGGGAGGTAAATTGCTACTGGGATTGCAAGCACACGAATTAAGCTCAGGAAACCAAACGTATGCCCCCGTCAGCGTTGTGAGGAAATCAGCCGTCCCGTAGTGTTCAATTCCATGTGTTAAGCAATGCGTTGAAAAGTATTCTGGGTTGGTTTCTACTGCCGACGACGAGTATGGATTTTGTGATTGATTGGAGCACAAAATAGAACTAATGTCAAGAGCCGTGTGTAAGCCTGTGTACCGAAGGATACTTCACAAATTAATGCCGGAGGTGGAGAAACAAGTGCATGACATACCATTAAAAGGTATTATCCGTAAAAGCACCGGCTTGTACTCGTGACCAGTGCTGCTCACTAGAAAATTTGACGGTACTTACAGATTCTGTGTCGACTTTCGAGAACTAAACTGTGCAACCATAAAGGACGCCTTTCCGATGCCACTAACGGATGAGATACATGAACAACTCCACTCTGCACGTGTACTGTCACTTGAGGTCGGGGTTTTGGCAACTACTAGTGGCAGCCAGCGACAGAGAAAAAACAGCATTTTGTGTCAACGGGCAGCAATATGAATTTGTTCGGATGCCGTTCGGGCTGTGCAACCCACCAGCCACATTCAGACGTCTGTTGCTACAGATACTGAAAAACTTGGACGGTGTTGTAGTTTACGAGGAGGACATTGTTGTGTTCTCGAAGACACCAGAGGAACATGTTCATCGGCTGGAAGCGGTGCTTGGGAGAATCAAAAGTTCAGGTTTGAAACTAAGTGCAAAGAAATGCCAAATCGCTCAGGACAATCACCTGTTTGGGTCACATTGTTGGCGGAGTTAAAATTAAACCGTTTCTCGAGAAGACTGAAGCGATTCGAAATTTTCCCCTCCAAAGTCCAAACGCCAATTACGATCGTTTTTGGGAAAAGTAGGATACGACGCAAAATTTGTACCGAACTTCGCTGAAAAGGCTGCCCCTTTGTTCCAGTTGTTGAGAAAGGACAGGAAACTTATTTGGACGCCAGAGTAGGAGACGGTCTTCCAAGAGCTGAAAACAACCACGGTCACGGAGAGATGTCTGAAAATACCAAACCCTGCAGAAACCTTCACCGTTGCCGTCGATGCTAGCGTCATTGGAATCGCAGCAGTGCTGTCACAACCGTCCGGAGTAATTGAATATGCCAGCCGCCTGCTCACAGACGCCGAAAGGAAGTTCTCGACCACGGGAAAGGAGTTCCTGGCGATTGTATGGGCACTGGGGGAATGGCGAATTTATTTGATTGCGAATAAGTTCCACATCAAGACAGACCAAAAACCCTAGACGTGGTTGATGACGGCGCACGACCTGAGAGGACGATTGACGCGACGGGTATGTCGTCCTCAGGAATTTACGTCTACCATTGAACATGTTGACGACAAAGATAATAGGATTCCTGACTTCCCGTCGCGTCCGATCAACGATGAAGGTGTTCCACCGGAAGCTATCCCGGTTTCGAATGATGTGGAGTAATGTGTTGCGAACCATCTATGAATACCTGCGGTTAAAACGAAGCCAGAAGAAACGTCACCCGAAAAAGGAGAATCG